ACATCAGGTTATGGAAATCCACTAATCAGTTTCGATGCACTTTTAGGCCGCTCAAAAACCCACTTCTTCTAATCAATAGTACAAAAACTTTGCCATTTGCGCTTCGACGTACATTGTACGTAAATTGTACGACGTACATGATACTGCTTCAGTCGATTCACCCTTCTTCGGTTTTCGTGACATTCATACAAACCCATGTAGCTACATAATCTAGCATGTGTAGTGTTACTGGATTGTCTGAAAGGTTGAATATGACCGAGTCAGCAAGGTTCGAAGAAAATGAAAGTGCCTGGAACAAATTTTGCAGACCTAATACTTTGGGCGCTGAACATTTATTACGAGAAGAATGACCAGCTTTTAATATCGTTTGCCATTTATACTTTTGCAAGCTGCATATCGTATATGAGTTCCAGTAAGTTGTTTTGAAGTGATCACCTAGTCTTCATCACTTTTTCTTGGCAAGAAGCTCGAAAGGCCCGTAGCAGCGATTTTCGTGATTCTTGTTTTGCCCAATACTCTAATTTACATATTTATTTGTATTTCCTAGCATAGTGGAGTTTGTGCTTGTAGGGTGCTAGCCGACATGAAGCAAGCGAACGAGGAAGCAGACGAGATGTCAGAAGTAATGTCTCGTTTATCAGATGGTCTAGGGGCAATGGGTTTGGGTGGTGGGAGTACAGTGGCAAGTTTAGCTGGCGTTAATGTTTCTCCACGACAAAACTGGTAATCAGGTTAGAATTTTTTGATCTGTTCTTAGCATTATTTCCGATATCTTTCAGATTAGATATATGAGCTTTACGTATTCTAGGTGTTTGATATGCGTGGCTCATTTTCAACTTTCTTAGAAGTGTACATCTCGCTCTCATCTTGTATCTGAATGCTTCTTTTCTCTTTCATCAATTTTTGGAATTTGTTTTAGCATATTGTGAAGTTATCTCTACTTTCAAATGCTTACCCAAACGTGTCTTATAGATTTCGACTAACATAATCATAATCATAGGCAACTTGTTAACAGGTAAGCGCGTTGTGGTTGATGGGGCTGGGGCTGCTTTCCCCCCACTTCGCACTGCCAATTCCTTAGCAAGACAAAAAAAAAA